ATCCGGGTTACACTGTATCAAGGAAGTTTTTATTTTTTATTTTCATCAGTAATTTAGATGTTTTATATATGTGTGTATATAGTGATGTAATTTTTCAAATTTTCCAAACACAGTCAGCAAGTTATGACCGTGTTCATAATTAATATTATTGAATGTTAGCTTTATTATTATTATTAATGCTTCTATTATTTTTATTCGATTTTTACATGTGGATGAGGCTGATATAGTCGTATGTTCCACAAATATATTGTAGACGGAGTTTGGTAGGTTTCTGTGTGTGTTTAAATGGGTCCTAATTGGTTAATTCATGAATAATTATATTGAATATACAACTAAATGCTTATCAAAAAAACTCAAGGTACATCTCTCATACCATAGCTCAATTATCATTTTATTTATTACCCACTCACTCACTGTTGTTCCCGTAGCAATTAGGGTTTTTTAGGGAACAGAGTTGCCATTTCCATACCCATCCAGATTTAGAATACAAAAGTGCCCTTCTTCTAGACTTGCTACCAATAAAGGCTGGAGAACACAGTCTATCCTACTATTTACAGATCACCACAGCTATTAGGAAGATGTGATTAAATATACTTTAATGTTTAAAAAAAAATATTCAGTATTATTATTGTTTAGGTAATAAGCATTATAACATAGCACAAATAGCTATATTGTGCAAAAAGGAATTTTTGACAATATACGCGTTTTTTTTTTATATATTTATGGTTATTTTTTAACTTTTATCAAAAACGACATTCTTGTACATCTAGTAATGGGTAATATTATAAATTAATTACTAATTTTTTAAATTAATAACTATCTGTGCATTTTATAATATATATTATAAAATACATACATACACACACACACACACACACACACACATATATATATATATATATATATATATAGTGCCCACTGATGTATGCGTTTTATTATATATATATATATATATATATATATATATATATATATATATATATATATATGTTTCTTTAAAGAGGACTGAGATTAAGATTTTTCTTGGATTATATCGAGAATTTCTAAATATATAGTAGGAGCACCAAAGCATATGTGGCAGCAATATTCAAAACATGCACACAAATTGTAGACAGTAAGACAAATTGTAAGATAGATTTGTAAAGAAAAGTCTCCAGCAGGACACGGTGGACCCACTTTCCTAGCTGCAGGCCTAGCAATGGATTCAATCAGGAGAAAACGTTATCCCGATAAGGCGCAACGAGTCACTCTCCTGAAGGTTAACATCAGCCATACTCATGAAAGACAGAAAGAAGGTTCTCAGATGGTTAATAGAGAGCAGTATCGTTTTGGAGACGTTATAATTGGGATTTTTGGTTTATTCCTCTAATCATTGTTAATTCTAATTTACTCCTTCAAGATAAGTAGGTATCTCCATTTGGATGGTTGCCGCAACACAATTTTCTTAGTTCCTCACTCCTTTTCGCTTGGTCATATACTCACCTTAGCCCGATTAGTATCGGACACTATAATTTTGAAAAGTTGGAATTAAGACAAGTTTTGTGTATCGATCCCACAATGTGGACGTGGAAAACCGAGTTTCAACAATCCTCGTTCTCTTTCTCAATTCGTCCACTGCTTTCGTTGTGTCCTCATCAGCACTTCGACTTTTTAGAAGAATGAATCATATATATATATATATATATATATATATATATATATATATTAATAGTAGTACTCTTTTGGAAAACTTCGGATAGCTCAACTTGCAGATATGTCAGGACAAATCGGTACCCGAGGAAAAGATTGGAAATAAAAAAGAAAGAACTAAAAACATCAGAACAAGACGAAACAAATCGCCAAGTGCTTTAAGTCCTTAGTCCAAAGAAAAAAACCTCACACGAGTAGAAAGACTAAAACGTAGAGTGCTCAATACGCTAAGTAGAGCGATAAACTAAAATAAATCCTAAGGAGCCAGGCAAACCTACCTAGGTTTCACCTAAACGGATCTTCAGGATAAACTGAATATATATAAACCAAATAATTGGATTGACTCTTACCAATATGCAAATGCTACGGCACTCTCAAAATTTTACTGGAATATTAAAACAGATGACTATACAGTCAGTTATGTGCCAAGCGTGATACACGCTTAGGCGATCATGTATCTTTCGATACATGACTGACGAGCCAGATTTTCTCCCGCAGTAGGTTGCCATTTCTTTCTGTGGTAGACCAGTTATAGGCTATAGACCCGGCCTGTCCTTCTATTTACCCATAGCTGGGGGTGGGGAGGAGAAGAGGATTCATACCTTTCCCAAGAAAGTGAATGAAATGAATTCGACTCGACTGAAATTCGAACTCGGCTCTCCGATTCCTCAATCCGAGCTGTTATCCATTACTCCACCGATGACTTTACACCGGTAGTAAATTGGAATTTAGTCGCCAAATATACATCCTTTTCCGGCCGCGGATGTAACCTGTGTTTGCTGGGAAGAAAAGATTCATCAAAAATATTAATGGCCGAAAACGATTTAACAATCGGAATGAACTTATGATAGCTTCTAATCACAGGAAGAAAATTGTTGAAAAGTATTTTTATTCTGGATAGATCAGTTATTCAAATACCACATGCCCATTACATATTTTAGCTTACATATTGATTACCCATCTTTAACAATTTAAGCGCCTATTAATACGTAACGAACTACACGGCGTTCCTCTTATTTAAACTTTAAGCATGCATCTTTTTTTTCCAGTATTCCTTACCTACACTCTACATTTTGAATAATAATATATTAAGTTTATATTAACTTTGAGGTTTGAATCAGCGTTTAATTTAGCTTTCTTTCCGTGAGATCCTGCATTTTAAAAAAAACCTGTAATAAGTGTTTCATTCGCCAGTTCGTGCCTGACGACTTGGGAAAACTATGAAACTTAAAGTTACACTACAAACGTAGGTATATATATATATATATATATATATATATATATATATATATACACACACAGAGGCATATACACTCCATTTTCAGATAATAGTTTGTTTGTTTTTTTGTTGGATATTCGACCTCTTGTCCCATGCTTTTACTATTCAACTATATATCCTGAGGGGTTATGTTCATCGTAATTTGCGTAGAGTCAGTATCGTGTCAAATGACTATACGCCATGACATTCAACGGTAAAAATAAAAAGTAGAAATCATTCAATGAAAACGAAATGAAAGAAAGAAAGAAAGAAAAAGGCCGAGTCAAAAATAGATTGAAGCAAAAAGAAAGAATGACTCTCGGACTAAAATTAATTAAAGTTAAAAGAAAGAAAGAGGCCTAGACAAAAAGAAATTAAAGACAAAAGAAAGAAAAAGAATTAGACTAAAATAAATTAAAGATGAAAGAAAGAAAGAAAGAGGCCTAGATAAAAAATAAATTGAAGAGAAAGGAAAGAAAGCTTCGACAAAAATAAAGAGAAAAATAAGAAACGAAAAAGAAAAAAGAAATAAGGCTTGGATCATTCTCGATCGGTGGGAAAGAAAGAAAAACAGATACCTATATAAATTCAAGAGAAAGAAAAAAAAAAAAGAAAAAAAAGAAAAAAAGGCTCGGATCATTGTCAAAAGAAAGAAAGAAAGAAAGAAAGAATGAATGAAAGATAGAGTGTGATTCAACGTTTGAATGATGCTTGTTAGTAAAATGACTCTAGACATTTTCCGTTTTATTTTTTTCCCGCACCCCGAAATATACAATAGGAGGATATGAATTTCCTCAGGGCACTTTAAAAATGCCCGGGTTACGTATTATCCACTAGATTTTCTTTCTTTTTTTTTTTTTTTTTTTTTTTTTTGTGCGTGTGTTTCTCTCTTATTTTATTTATTTATTCAAATGCCCAGCCTCTTTCTCTCTCGCGAGAAGAGCACCTGCAAAGAAAGAGAAAAGAGCTCACCCATTCATTTCATTCTCTTTCACACGTACCCACGGTCCCCAGCATGCAAAAAGGTATGTAAAAGGGTTTTAGGTCTATCATGAAATGGCTCGTTCTGCAGTGAAGTTTATGCTGTATCGCGAGCAGTACATCTGATCGTAATGCAATAAGTTAGCCAGTTGATTCGTTTTCTATGGATTATCAACCCTTTGCAGGTTATTTAAAGCCTGAAAATATTTTTAGATTATAAGAATTTTTTTTAAGATTATAATGGTTTACTTATAGAAGTCTTACTAATTAACCCATAGCTCGGGGGAGATGAGGTAGATTCATGCCTAACCAGAATTTGAAACCATAAATTATAAAGTAGATATAAAGTGGGGGATCAATTCAATATTATAATCAATATATAAACTGATCCCTCACTTTGTGGACACGGTAGTATCTATACATTTATATTCTACGATAAACTACATCCGAGTCCAGGCTATGACGATAAACTACATCCAACAGCAAGGCCTCTGATCAGGAGGTTTTGAGGAGCGTGGAACCATGTCTTAATTGCTGGTGTTCCCAGGTCCTGTTAGTGTCCCAGCTATGGGTAAATGATTAACCTCTAAAGTGGGGTCAAAACACTATGAAAATGTAAAAATAGGTTTTAATACCTGAAACACTTTGTAAAAAATGATTACATTTTTAACAAAAATTATCAGCTATACATTAAAAAAAAAAGATTACCAGCAATAAAAATCTTGTCAATCCCATTGTAGTTGATATGCCGTAAACCAAACCAAACCAAACCAAATTAAACATTTATATTCTAGAGAATGTAAATAAATCTAAAAGACATGCCTGTGTAGCTAATCAGTATTTCATTGATTGATTGATTCGTTTACAACGGTTGCAAGAATTTTTTTAGATGATAATGATTTAGTGATATAAGTCTTGCTAATTAACCCATAGATGGGGAAGAAAAGATGAATTCATACCTTTCCTAGGTGTATTTGCCCGTAAGTGAGTACAACAAAACGAAATGGAATTGGAACTCGGCTCTCTGATTTACAATTCTGAGCAATTATTTTATTACAACACCCAACCTTAGAGCACCTGGTATTTCCAAACGGTTACCCATCCATTTATTGACCAGACTCGACGTCGCTTAATTTCGGTGATCGTGCGGGAACCGGTGTTTCAACGTGATCTGGCCGTAAGCCGTAATACAATAAGGACGACCACTCTCGTCTCTTTGATTTTTTACTGAGTGCTCCATATATCTATATTTGTGCAATACTCCCGTCCGCTTACAATGGAATTTAAATTGATCAATATTAACCCGTATTTCATAAACAACAACCAGAATTATTACTACTCGAATAAACTGAAAATTATTTGCCTCTGTACTAATGGTCGCCCAATACCAGGCCCAAAAGCCACTCAAGGTAGAGTGTGGGTAACACCCCATGTAACTAACGGAGAGTTAAAGGAGAAATACATCGACCGAAACGTTACAAAACCAGGAAACTGATCCAAATTGAAGCAACGCCGTTTTGTCTGAGTGAATCTTCGAAAACTTCATTAATTTCTCATAAGTTAAAGAATTGGATCCGTATTTTTGAATATGTGATTGAAATCTTTGGAGATAATTTTGGTGACTAGTCTTTTTTCGTCATGGGATCTGACCAATGGTAGAAACAAGCATGGAAGAAAAGAACCCTATTTATATGCGCATGTCATACAAGAGAGAAGAAAAGTTCATCCCCCATTCCGCGGGTAGGGATGCATCTGCTCGGGGATAAGCTAGAAATTCACGCGCCTGGAAAACAGAATTGGAAGAGTTGCGCAAAGTCAGGCACATAAAAAATAGATAAATATTCTTCTCCCCCATACGGAGAAGACTTTCTTGGGCCCTTCGTCCCAGTTCCGCACAAGAGATATTTGATATAGTTCGGTAGAGTTGGGTCGATTTTTTTGTTCTGTGAAGAACATGTTGATTTGAAAATTCTTGCAAAAATCAGATAACAACCGGTTTTTAATGAAACTTTCAAGACTTATTCAAAAAAGAATTAAATTATTTTTAAACATTTCTTTTTTAGGAAGTCTTATATATATATATATATATATAAATCTGTTCTCTCCACTCATTTAATTTAGCGACATATGAAAAACTTCTGGGTTATAGGTCGACTAAATGATTCGGGCAAAAATGAATTAGTAGATAGACATAGATCTATTTTACAGTGGTCAACAAAGTTGGTACAGGCCCGGTTTACATAGTAGTCAATAACGTTGGTACAAGACCGGATTACATTGGAGTCAATAATGTTGATATAGTTTTGGTTAACAACGGAGTCAATGACGTTTATTTAGGTCCGCTTTACATCGTAGTTAATCACGTTGATACAGGTCCGGTTTACATTATAGTCAATAACGTTGATACAGGTCCGGTTTACATTATAGTCAATAACGTTGATACAGGTCCGGTTTACATTGGAGTCAATAACGTTGATACAGGTCCGGTTTACATCGGCGTCAATAACGTTGATACAGGTCGGGTTTACATCGGAGTCAATAACGTTGATACAGGTCGGGTTTACATCGGAGTCAATAACGTTGATACAGGTCGGGTTTACATCGGAGTCAGTAACGTTGATACAGGTCGGGTTTACATCGGAGTCAATAACGTTGATACAGGTCGGGTTTACATCGGAGTCAATAACGTTGATACAGGTCGGGTTTACATCGGAGTAAATAACGTTGATACAGGTCCGGTTTACATCGGAGTCAATAACGTTGATACAGGTCGGGTTTACATCGGAGTCAATAACGTTGATACAGGTCGGGTTTACATCAGAGTCAATAACGTTGATACAGGTCCGGTTTACATCGGAGTCAATAACGTTGATACAGGTCGGGTTTACATCGGAGTCAATAACGTTGATACAGGTCCGGTTTACATCGGTCCGGTCAATAACGTTGATACAGGTCGGGTTTACATCGGAGTCAATAACGTTGATACAGGTCCGGTTTACATCGGAGTCAATAACGTTGATACATCAGGTCGGGTAACGTTGATACATCGGAGGTTTACATCAATAACGTTGATACAGGTCCGGTTTACATCTTGGTACAGGGTTTACATCGGAGTCAATAACGTTGATACAGGTCGGGTTTACATCGGAGTCAATAACGTTGATACAGGTCGGGTTTACATAACGGAGTCAGGTCAATAACGTTGATACAGGTCGGGTTTACATCGGAGTCAATAACGTTGATACAGGTCGGGTTTACATCGGAGTCAATAACGTTGATACAGGTCCGGTTTACATCGGAGTCAATAACGTTGATACAGGTCGGGTTTACATCGGAGTCAATAACGTTGATACAGGTCCGGTTTACATCGGAGTCAATAACGTTGATACAGGTCCGGTTTACATCGGAGTCAATAACGTTGATACAGGTCGGGTTTACATCGGAGTCAATAACGTTGATACAGGTCCGGTTTACATCGGAGTCAATAACGTTGATACAGGTCGGGTTTACATCGGAGTCAATAACGTTGATACAGGTCGGGTTTACATCGGAGTCAATAACGTTGATACAGGTCGGGTTTACATCGGAGTCAATAACGTTGATACAGGTCGGGTTTACATCGGAGTCAATAACGTTGATACAGGTCGGGTTTACATCGGAGTCAATAACGTTGATACAGGTCGGGTTTACATCGGAGTCAATAACGTTGATACAGGTCGGGTTTACATCGGAGTCAATAACGTTGATACAGGTCGGGTTTACATCGGAGTCAATAACGTTGATACAGGTCCGGTTTACATCGGAGTCAATAACGTTGATACAGGTCCGGTTTACATCGGAGTCAATAAAGTTGGTACAGGTCTGGTTTACATTGTACACAAAAACGTACATACAGGAGCCATCACTAACCATTTTAATCGACCTCGTCTTTTTAGCTGGAACCATCATCATTCATTTTGACTCATATTATACTTAGAGCTTGACCGATCATATTGACTATTTTTATCTTTGTAGCTTAACCATCGTCATTCATTTTGACCAGTCTCGTTCTGGAACCTTGATTCATAACCAATCGTCTTGAATATTTGTCTTTCTTTGTAGCTCCACCCATCACTGGTCATTTTGTATTCGGGGTGGGGTCGATAGATAATAAAAGTCATTCGTATAATGTGCTGAACTCTCTACTTCTTTAATTTCTAAAATATGGGAACTTGAAAACTTTGCAGAAGTTTTGCTGAAATCTTACTTATAAGAAAGGGTTGAAAAGAGAAAGATAACCAGTTAGTAGGAATTGTATCGATAAATCAGTAGCATCTCCAGAAATATTCTTATAATCTAAAGGTATTTTCTGGTCCTAAATAATCTGGAAAAGCTTGATAAGCCGTGAAAAGGAAATCAATCAGACTCAATTTTATTATTGTAATATTTTTAAATAAGGCATTTATTAATTTAATTTAATTTTATTACTAATTTTACTCTATTGTATTATTTCATTTTTTTCTATTGGGTTGGTGCATAATTATCAGGCGTTTTTGTGGGCGAGTTATTTGTTAATAAAAATTGCTGTTTTGTTTACTTTTTTTATTAAAAATATTTTATTTTTAGGTTATAAAGATGCGTGTCGATAATCATACGCCCCGGAACAATCATTTTAAAATGTTATTACAGTGTAACCCGGATATAAGAGAGTTGTCGGGACCGGAGAAGAAGTCTCTTATATCCAGGTTTCTCTTATATGCGGGTTTGGTCTATTTTGTTTAGGTAAGTATGGGCTCTAATTTGGGACCAGAGAAAATCTCTCTTATATCCGGGTTACACTGTATTGAATTCTGTTTCTTTTTTTCATAATAAATATTGTTTAAAAAACGCTTGATAATTATGCAGCAACCGAATATTATTATTTTAATACTAGTTTTAAATCATTTTATTATTGTTACTTTTGAGATGAAGCATTTTAAGTATAACTATTTTATTACTGATTTTCCGCCATCTTGTTATTGTTGCTTTTTAAATGAAGAATTTTCTTTGTTATCATCTCATTACTAGTTTTACTCCCCATCTTATACTTACAGTTCCAATGAAGCTATTTCGTTATTACCATTTTATTACTGATTTTATTCATCTTATTCTTTTTGCTTTCCGGATGCTACATCGAAAAGAATGTGGGGAAAAAAAAAAGAACAAAAATTCATCTCTTGGTTTCTTTTAATTTTTAATTTGATTGTTAAGCGCATGCGTACAAATTGAGAAGGAATTTTTACGTGACGGATAAGCAACTCTTTGAATACAATTCGTTTGTCCTCTTTTTATTCTTCTTTTTTAGAATGCTATCGACTCCAGCTGCGAGTCGAGAGTGGCCAGGTGTGACTCACTGCCCACCTCTACTCCCTCATCATAGTTTTATTGAATGATAGAATGTTGGTCTTCTCTTTTTACTTGAAGAGGTTCACTTGATTAAGCCGATCTCCCTTGTCTTCAAGTAACAAAAGACCATCGGTATTCCCCCACCAAAATAGGCGATATTCAGGGACGAAACGGTGACGTGTTTCTCTCAAACACCCGTAATTAATGTAATATCTGTTTAAGTCTGTTAATATATGTAGTTTTATCTATCTATCTATCTATCTAATTCACCATCTATCTCTGTTTATATCTTAGTACGAATCCATGACAAAACCCAGTCTGGTATATAAAAAGAAACAAATTTAACATTGAACAATCAAGCTACTTTTAATTCAAATGTTCATATCAAATTGAGATATTAATAATATCCAATATATACACTTACCTGTACAAGAAATATCTATTTCTGTCTGTTTGACCCTCACTGGGTACCCAATATAAAAATTCAATATTTCATAAATCAACCAACCTACAATAGGCATGACTTAATGGTTAGTGAGGATAGTCTGGTTGACCAATGGAAATAATTCATCACCCACAAGGCCACAAAATCGCATTGGATCTACTCTTGGTAAATAGAAAATAATGAAGAGCAGTTTTTTTTTCTACCTTTTTCTTTTATGATGCGTGTTTGGCAACGCCATCTAACGGTCGTTAGCAGAAGTTCCCTTGGGGACAAGTGGGGTAATCCCATATTAGCAATCATTCGATCGTAAAGTACTTAATATGTTACTGACACCATCTTCTCTTGAGGGCAATTTCAGTCTATTTCTGACCT